TTTGTTCATTTATCTCCGTAAAATAGGTATTCATCCTTTTACGATCGCATTTTCGGATTGCATTAGTTTTTTTTGGAATGAATGAATGAAATAATCTATTGTTATGCAAAGTTTTAGGTCGCATCAATATATCGACATCCCAGCCTAAGAGCCGCCATCAACATAATCGTTACAAGACTGATAATCTTGAAACACGAGGCGGTTAGTTCATTCTGTGATACATCTGCTACAAAACTGTTTTTTTGCTACGGTAACAAGTTTGCAGTTCACGTTCGCTATCAGCAAAAATGAGCTGGAATGTTTCATATATTCGTCATGTTGAATCTATTCGAATCATTTCTTTACCAGTTCCTTCGTGTTTCGGTGTTTTCTTGTTGAACTGAAGCTGATTTCTGTTGTTGATCAATGCTCTCTTCCGAAAATGACGGTCAGACGATCAAATATTGCCGCAAAATTCTTTCTGATATGTGAATGAAAATGTCAATGAAAAAATGTCGAAATTGAACGAATGAAAAAATATCTGGAAATGTTAATGAACAAACTGAACAGTCCATGTAAAATTTATCAAAGGAACTATCTTCAACGATTCGCGTTCAATAAACGGCAAACGTTTCAATCGGAAGCATTCAGATGAATTCGCGCTCCATTAATTCAGTCAAAACTAATTCCTCTTTACGGATAACATTCTCACTCAAAAACTTCATTGCATTCACGGATCACTGCCTCGATGGAATGAATGTTCTTGAAGTGTTCAATGACTTACTCATTCATATATTCGGCAGTTTTGGCGGCGAATGTTTTGCTGCTCACAAAATCGTGAACGGAATATGTACTTTTGATGCAATTGAAACGCTTTGGCAACAACAATTCAATGCAATTGAATCAAGCAACAAAGAACACGCTATTGTTTCAGGCAGGTCCGCGAATAAGCGAAAATGCTCAAGAAACATTACAACAGTTTTGTCGATGGCAAGAAGGGTACAACGATCGCAATGATGATGCTATAAATCATCATGATGTGGCGATATTGTTGACGAGACATGACATTTGTAGGTTAGGATCTGCACATCTTGCTTGGACGGAACTTGCCAGTAGCAGAATGATAAGTAGCTTCCGATTAGAGAGAACTTACCTTTTACGATCAGAAGCTATGATGATATTGTGATCGTCTACAGTTAAAACCTTCTGCCACTACTTAACTAAGAAATTGCCTCAAGAAGAAATTTCCTTGAATTGTTGTTTAATGAATGAAATGTTTGAATCTAATCGCTTGCTACTGAAATTTTGCGACGCAACTTATAGAGAAATGTTGTTATATTTAGAGCACCGGGTAAATGCGATACATTGGGTCTGGCTGAACTGGGAACGATGTGTGATTCGTTACGGAGTTGTGCGATCATTGAGGATAACGGTCTTTCAGCTGCATTCACGATCACTCATGAACTTGGACATATGTAAGTTTGTGGTTTAATCGCCAGTTCTCTTGCAGCCATGCGCCAGCATTGGTTAACGTGAAACTTCTCTCCTTTGAACGATTTCGTGATCAATGCATTCGACTTTTGCAATCACTCAAATGGTTTGTAATCCGAAATGCAAACTTGACAACTAATTTATGTAGCGATAATGACTTCGTAATTGGTTGCTGATTCAGATTCAATATTCCGCATGATGACGAACCGAAATGTGGTCACTATATGGCATTGAATAAGCATAACTATCATATAATGGCACCAACACTTGAATACAATACACATCCGTGGTCATGGAGTGCATGTAGCGCTGCAATGCTCGCCAAATTTCTCGAGTATGATCTACCATGCGTTTTGTGATCATTCACCACTAAAACAAATCAAAATACTCAGCGTTGAATCGACAACGCTTTGTATCGCTTCAGTCAATATTCATATGAATTTCGTCCATCGAATGATTCCTATAACTCATAATCGCAACTCTCAATCACTGGAATAACCTAGTTTGATGAACGAATTGTTTGAAAGATGTTTTCGAAGGATTAAAAGATATACTTGCATTATATGTCGTAAGATTCCATTCGCAGTATGATTCTTACACCTAACCGATTGCACGCATGTGACTGAACGAACTCAGTGGAGTAGTGCACAAAAACGAACTCATTTAGGAAGATATCAATGCGACTAAAAATTTTTCAGTGCGAATCGAGCCCAAACTCAATGTATATTGGATCAGCCAATTGAAAGACGTTACTATGATCGGATGTTCGAAGATCCTGCACCTGGCACTATGTTCTCTGCCAATCAACAATGCCAATTTGTTTTCGGTCCATCTGCTGAATTATGTCCGTATATGGTGAGCGATTTTCGCATGTCGTACCATTTCGAGGAACTTCAATGGGAACTACGACTGGCTACCCGTTAAACATGAATTGAGTTTTGTTCCGGAGCAAAAAAAACTGCTGGAGCTTCAGAATGCTACGTATTTCCATCCAGAATGAAGCGAATAACTGGGTTTACAGTAGGGATGCACGCATATTTGGATGTCTGAAATTAAGTGGAAACGAATTACGAAATGAAATATTTTCAGCCAGCATGTCGGCGTTTATGGTGTGCCACATATTACGGATATCAAATGGGCTGTCGGACACAACATATGCCATGGGCTGATGGAACACCTTGTGGAGATAATCAGGTGATTTGATCATCTAGTATTATCCTGTTCATTGATCAATTGTTATCAAGCGGTGAATTTACTCAGTGCCAAATGATTACAGTGGTGTCATCGAGGTGAATGCGTTGGAATGTCACCGAAACAACGCGCCAGACAGGACGGCGCTTGGGGCGAGTGGAAGCAATGGGGTGAATGCTCAAGAACGTGTGGTGGTGGAGTTCAGAAGGCACTTCGAGACTGCGATAACCCCAGGTATTGTCCGGGTGCATCGTTGTAGCACTCCTCTGCTGCAGTGGTTAAAGACCATCCATTGATGCTGTTTTTGATCAATTTCGAGCTTGATTGACCGCTTCTTTCACAGTCACGAAACATCCAAAATTGATATCCGTGATGTGCGGACAATTATGGATACATCCAGGGGAATATGATTTGGAAATGTTGTGAAAGTTTAGAATTGTCGGAGGAGTTGAGAAGGAGGCTACATTACCTGCTGAGAAAGACAGATGAATAGATAAATAAATAGATATACGATTAAAGGCCGAGTAATGGTGGCAAATATTGCATTGGACAACGTGAACGATATCGACCATGTAATCTGCAAGACTGTCCTTGGGACACTCCTGGTTTCCGAGAAGTGCAATGCGCTGAATTTGACAATCA